ATCATTCTTTTTTTTTTTTTTTTTTCTTTTTAAAGGAACGAGTAAAGTCTGTGTTCGATTCCAAAGAATTTGGAGAAATTATTAAACTACTTTAGAATTCCAGAAGATGCTAAGGTAAAATCAAAATATTGTCACAGTCATTCCTTGTTGCATTTGGCTTACAAAGTTAAAAATTTTTCACTGCACAAGAGTGGTTCAGGTCTGATACCAGACCTCCATAGTTGCAGGTTTGCTCAAGTTCTCTTATTTCTGTCAGAGTGAATTGTTATTTTCACAAGCAATAAATTAATTTTGCATCTGTATACATCAGTGGGATATAGATATGAAGCATACTGTGAAAGTTCCATCTTCTCAACAAGTTTAAGTAGCCTTTGTTCTCACAATGGTAGCTTACAACCGCATTTGAGTCATATCATTTGGCCCCTTCCTCAAAAAGCATCCCAAATACTGTCAAGATCCCAGAGGAGCCCACACTGAACTGAGACCAGGAATCTGTGTGGGAGGGGAGTCCCAACTGTGCCTCAGCTATGCCAGGAAGAATACCAGAAATCAAATTTGTGCGTCTTATTATGTGTATTTTAAGTCATATGGATTTGAAGGCTTGCCTATTCAGTAGATTAAGAACTGTCTAGATGGTCATAGCCAGGGGGCTATGGGGGGATTAAATGTATTCTCCACCAAGATGTGTGGTGTAGTTGAAAAAAGAGAAGGGAAGGCTCCCATCCAGAGGGGCCTGGACTTCTGAGGGGCCTCCAGTGTGGATCAGGATGAGGTTCACAAGGCCAAGTGCAAGGTGTTGCACTTGGGTTGAGGCAACCCAGATATGTGTTGAGTGGGAGAGCAATTACTTGAGAGCAGTGCTATGGAGGGGGAATTGGAGGTTCTAACTAAAAGAGGGGAGATTTATGTCAGATGCTAGAAAACAAAGTTTTATTTAGAAGGTGGTGAGATACTGGAAAAAGTTGCCCAGAGAGGTTGTGGATGCCCCATCTCTGGAGGCATTGAAAATCAGGTTGAATAGAATCATGGGCTGTTTGATCTACAAGATGGCAACACTGCCATGACGGAGGGGTTGAAAACGAATCATCTTGATGCTCCCCTCTGTCAGCAGTTTATGGGCTGATTTGGCCCTATTCTGTGACTAGCGAGGCAGAATCAAATCCATTCTATGATCCTATAATGTAACACAACTAAAGGACAAGAGCATAAGTACTCAGCCATACTAACAACCATGCTGTTTGTTTCATGAGACATAAGGAACAACATATTACGAGATTGCTGGTTGAAGTTCCTGGACAAATATGTGATGGTAGCCACTTTGCTATTTACCTTTTTTCCTAATGTCTAAAGTAAACATAACAAATAATGTCAATGATGGTGGGATTAAAAAGATTTCTTAGTCACCCATGATCATATGTCAAAAGATGACATGAATCTTTAAAGATTCATTTTTAAATTCCAACAGGTAACCCTTCAGCAAGTGAAGCTGGCTTTGCTTTCTACAGTTCTAACAGATCTTGAGGAAAATAATCTGTAAAGTGTTTGGGGACTTCAGAGTTCAAGCAGTATTAAGAGCACAGAACATTTGAAGGAATATGGTTTATGTGTACAAATCATCACTGCTACTTGTGACAAAATACAAAATATTGTGTCATTTTATTCTCTGTTGGTAGATGTTTTAACGAAAGTGGATCTAAACACAGACATTTTGCTCCTACTCCAAATCCAATATCCCTTCTGTTCCTCCTCTGGAACAGTGTAGTCACATCTTCTAACTCAACAATCAAATCTCTCAAAAATATCTTACTTCCACATCAAAATCCTGTGGTTTTGTAGACAGCCCAGATAAAATCTGATGGACCTATTAAACTAAAATGTTTCCTAGAATACTCAGTTCTGGGAGGTAGTAACTGTTAGCTCAAAAGAAAAGAAAATATAATCTGATATGACTGTTAACATCCTCTGCACCTCTCTCTCCCCCATTTCAGACTTTCCAATTTAACAGATAGATAGAAATACACAGTGATTGGGCTGTTTGAATTTAATAGCTTTTTTCATGAAGAGTAAAATTAAAAAGTTATGTTTTGAAATACTTTCTATCATGAGAAATTTGAAGACTAAATCCAATCAGCAGAGCTGAAAATATATACCATACCAATTGAAAGCGAAAGCTTAGAGACCTCAGAAGTAAAGTTTCAGCAACTACTTTCATTACTGCATACTGAACCATTCAAAAAGTAATCTTACCTAAATATAATATTTTCTAAATCAAAAGGGTACTTGATAATTCCTGTAGTTGGCACTCTAAGAATATCTTGCTGAGTTGGTACAAATGAGGGCATAGCAATACGATCACTGTCAGTAAGATAACTGAAAAGTTAAATACACAACAGAAGCAAGATTAATGCACTCACATAATTTAATCATAGAGATTCAAAACAAGAGCACTGATCAGCAGTGCAGTAATTTCCCCAAAAAAGTAAATGAACAGAAATTCCATTTTGTTCTATTGGCATAAGAACAATTGTTACTGGCGTAAAACTAAAAAAACTTTAACAGAGTAGTAAAAAAAAATAGAAGTTGAAATGTTCAAAAATCTTCTTATGCTCCAGGTGATGATCTTTATTTGTATAATCTTTGCTATTACTTCAAAGTAATCACAGTAGCTAAGATTTGAAAACACACATCAATCCTTGCTGTAATGTAATTGTTTATCAACATTTTTTCTATCTCCTGGCACTTCACATGTGCTGTTAATATTGCACACAAATGTGAAAGGCTGCTGACAGGATTCAGAGGAATAGTAAATAGTTAATGTAAAGCATTGCACATATGAATGCACCCACCTTATACATTTTTACGTAGAAGATGATGCATTTAGTTTCTCTTCTGTCCATGCCATCATTCTCAACTTAGTCCCTCTTAGCCTTCATGTGCTTTTCGTACGTAGCTGGCATTAACTTCTAAGATGACACTGCTGTGCTGAAATAAATAGGCAGAGTGTGAGGAAGTCATACACAAGGAACTGATGCAGATTATTCATCTGCAATCTATCTTCTCAACACTAGACGGCAACACTTGATCATCCAAAAATGCTGCCATGGCCTACAGAAAGTGTAAACTCTATTCCAAATTGTTCAAAGTGATCGTAGCAAAAACCAAATTTAAACATTAATTCCATCTTTCTCTTTGGTGAAAGAAAGGGAATATCAGTGCATTCTCCTCCTGTTGCTGCCCAGTTGTCCCTCAATTGGGCACAAAAAAATAAAAAATGTTTACACTTCTTCCAAATATTCTATTGTGGAAGAGAAAATTCTTCCTCTTCAGCAGTGCCACAAACTGTTAAAGACCTCAATTGTAATTAACAGTAAAATAAATACTTAATCAAATTTAAAATAGAACTAATTTTCAATTTTAGTTGACTTCATAGAAAAGGAGGATAGAATAGACTGTAAAGTGTTTATACAAATGCCCAACCTAAATGTTCCTCACAGGAATCCAAATTCTCAACTTCGTCATTAAAAAAAAGTAATTTTTCTGTTCTCTTAAATCTATCATTTTTCATAATTAAGTTCCAGGAATAATACTGAAACATCTTCATTTTTACTTACATCCTAAAATTTTGGTATAATTATGAACTTTCTGAAATACTTGTTTGTTGTTAATGTATTTTTTACAGCTGTTTTCCATGATTTCCCCTATGGGAAACTCAGTTATGTACCAGCTGTGCTGACCTCAGAGTTGGGAGGAACAATGTTTTCAGGACCATGAGAAAATCTCAGATTAAATTGTTTCAATTACTTCATCTTAAAATCCTTTGTCTATTGCAGGCCAACAGAGACACAGAGATAGATAATAAAATCAGAGAGAACCTATCTCTTTACCTTCATTAAGTCTGGGTTCTTCTTGTGGTTATGTAGAGTACTTACTACTAAGCAGAATTTGAGAGCTGATGCTCCCTCTGTCATAGCACTCTTGAATTCCTGGGTCTTCCCAAAGATTCTTGATTGGTTCAACTTGTTCTCTTTCCAGCGCTGTCACTTTATCCACTTCCACTCTTTTGATCATCTGAGCACTCTCCTAATCAATTCAATGATTATATTATTGTGAAAAATGACGGCTGTCAGCATGCATAATGCACCCTCCCCTTTTCCTTTTATAATCATCTCCATCAATGAAACTAAATATCAAAACGGATCCTAGGAGAAAACAAACAGTTCTCTTCTTGAATGCGTTTAACTTCTGAAGTCAGATGACTGCTACTGAATGTACTGACCAAGCTAATCTTGCTTAGTGTCACCTGCTTGTGATCTATATCTTTTGAAAGTGGACTTCTACTGAGGCCAAAAGGAACTCTAAATTTAGCATTTATAATTCACTGATTTTTAATACCAATTTAAAGCAACGATCACTTTTCCAAATGTCAATTCCTGCATCTTCTGTTCCATACCTAGGACATACCATAGACAAGGTATGACTTTGTCAGAAGAAATAATTTTTCTCTGTTGTTAAATCTTAGAGGTACTGCACAGATCACAGAATTGCAGGTGTTGGAAGAGACCTCAAGATCATTGACTCCCTCTGCTATAGCAGGTACCCTTCCATAGGTCACACTGGCAGGCATCCAGACAGGTCTTGAATATTTCCATAGAATAACACTCCACAACCTCTCTGGGCAACCTGTTCCAGTGCTCTGTCACCTTTACCATAAAGAAGTTCTTTTGTATGTTTGCACAGAACTTCTTATGTACAAGTTTTAAGTCGTTACTTTTTGTCCTATTGCTACATAGCACTAAGAAGAATCTGCCCTCATGCATTTGCCTCCCACCTCCCTGTACATATTTACAAATGTTTACCAGATTCCCTCTTACTCTTCTTTTCCCCAGGCTAAACAGATCCTTTTTACTCAAGCTCTCCTCATATGGGAGATGTTCCAGGCCCTTTATCATATCTGTGGTCCTTTGCTGGATTCCTTTTAGGAGATTCCTGTCTTTTATAAACAGGAGAGTCAAGATCTGGACATGATATTCTAAACATGGCCTCACCAGGGCAGAGTAGAGGGAGCGGATCAGCTCTTTTGACCTGGGGACCCAGTCATGCTCTTTTTAATGCACCCCAGGATTCCACTGGCCTTCACAATCACAAGGGCAGGACCCCCAGGTCCTTCTCCACAGAGCTCATCTCCAGCAGGTCATTCCTTAATTGTAATGATGCATGCAGTTATTCCTCCACAGAAATAAAGGTAAGATGAAGATAAATGTACATCTTACTTTTACAGGACATTGCAGTGTCTACTGCTCTTTATAACCCCTCATCTGGGTATATACCAGCATTTACTAACACAGTTGAGCTCTTCTCACATTCAATAGCAGATGTTTAGATTTAATTTTTCTTCAAAAACAAAATAAGATTTCTTCCCAACCTCTTATTTAATCTTTGGAGAAGTCACAAAGAGTAACACTACATACAGATCTGTATGGGATCTGGGGTAGCTGCATACTCGGTCTGAATTGCAAATCTGAATGCCAGTATACATGTTAACCTACACATGAAAAATGAGAAAAATGAGAAAAACACCAGAAAGGAGATGGCAGTCAGAAAGTTATGGCATCTTAACTTTCATGAACTTATGATGAACAACTGTAAAAAACTACGTAACAGAGATACCAATGCCTCAAAAGCAATTTCTCCGTGCTTGTCCAAATTAACAAAAAATTGTGAGCACTAATTTCTTCTTTCTCATTAAACAAATTTTAATACAGTCATAATATCTGAGCAAATTCTTCATGATTGGAATTACCTTTGATTTCACAGGTATTCTGTTACACAAAAATGAATGTCAAGAATTCTGAAGTTTTTTAAACCCTGCATTTTTAGAATAATAGCTAATAGCTTTTAATATAGTAATAACTGTTAAATAACTTAAAATACGTCTAAGTGCACCAAAGTGTTAAATTTCCTGTTACTTTTTCCCGCAGTGTGTCTTCACACATAACATAATCTCTAATGATTTTTAACTTACTTCTACACACCACAGTTAAGCAAGCAAGACAGGGATATTTTTTATTGAATACATTTTTCTGTTTCTTAACCATTACATAATTGTTCATGCTGAACTGCAACAATGTGAGCAGAGCTGTACTTCTGATCTACATTTTATTTGGGTGATTTATATTTTATTTGAGAACTACATATGAGATGCATTTAGAGACCCTGTGTCCCAGTAATAACTCATGTCCCTACTTTTAACCCGCCGTCAGACCAAGGTGCAGAATAACTTAGGTTATGAATAGCCCTTTCATTAGTTCACTGAAGGAATAGATAAGTCTTTTCTAGCACTCTGACAGAGAGAGAACCAATAGGCAAGTACCTAAAGCAGCATTTTGACTAGAGTTGAGTTGGTCTTGATTCCATGCTAGAACTTTGCAAGTTTCTTTGAGGGTTTCATCTAAAGGCTCTTAAAAAAAAACAACTTTGGTATTGGGTACTTGTGAAAATAAATATTTCATAACACTGTACATGTGGAAACCTCAGTCCCCCTACATAGTCAAGTTCCACATGATATAAAAAAATCTTTGGAGGGGAAAATAATTCAGATTAGTCTTTCACTTGATAGTCTTTACCAAGTAAAGTTCCATTCCACCCACAGCTCATTCAAATTTAAAATCTCTTGTAATTCAAATTAAAAATCCTCCATGGAATTTAAAAATTTCTTAAAGCACCATGTGATTTTATTATCGCTGTGCAGTACATCTACCTCATCCTCAATAAGCATTTGTATCACTAACCAAAAATGCCTTTAGTTAGAAACATAGGTGGAGGATATGCCACAAAAGAAAGATATAAAAAAGTTTTTTTTCCTTAAAAATATATCTTGAAGATAAATGAGTAATCTAGTAAATTGTGTACAGTAAGCCAACCAGGAACTGAAAAGGGGATTAAATTTGAAATGAATCCTGAGGTGTCCTTAGACTGGTTATTGCAACGACTGAAGTAAATGATTTTACCACAGCATTGTGTTGACATAATAAAGCATACCAGCACAAAATAAAATTGTTATTGGAACTAATTGTTCACTCTATGACAACTTTCAAGTAATATTAATTGTCAGACACTATCAGCTGTACAGATATCAGCTGTAATACTCACTGTATTTTCAAATATTCTGTATATTATTCACAGCCATAACATATTCTTATTGCAACTGAACTACAAATCTGCACTGTCTGGCAAAACAGAGTTAACCCTCAGACTCCACAGACACAGATATTATGCCCCTCCAGTGCGTAACAAAGACATTTCTGCTAGTCAAGGCTTTAAAAACAACAAACAAGCACAAAAACTTGTTTCTAACCCATTATTGGATTTTTGCAGATTGTTGTAAATAAATGCCTTTTGAATTTCAGTTTTCATATCTCTCAAAGCTGGAGCAGATGTTACCAATAAGAAGTTATCCCCAAGAAACACTGTGAAAATAAACTGCGTTGCAGTGTATGAGCAATGCTTGTTTCACAGAAAGAGCAGAAAGGGTATAGAAACATGAGAAGAAAAGGCAAAACAAATCTACTGTCATTACAGACCAAAGCAAGAACAAAGAGGGGAAATGCAAAACAGAACAAACAAACAGAGGAATTCAAGGGCGCACCTTTGCTTCATATGCACTTCCATGTCAGATATTGTTCTGTCAGACTGCCCCTCCTCTGCCATCTGTCACACAACAACTGTGTGTAATGGAGTATTGGTGGGAAGGTTCAGTCTCTCCTGCCATACCACCACCATCTGCCTCTGACATCATGGGACAACACAGTAAAATAGGAGGCATTACTTTCAGAGCAGCCACTGTAATAGGTGGAAGCTGCAGTAATTTATTCACAGGAAGAGACACAAAGAGGCTGTTCAGTATCAGAAGTTAACAAGCACTTCCAGCTGGAGGTGTATGCTGCTTTAGAAAGATGGTATTTATCATGGCATATTTGGTATTCAGGAGTTTGTTGACATACTATGTGAACAGGAAGTTGGCATCACTGAAAACCACATGGTTTTCATCTTTATCCATCTCTACTTCTTCAGTGCTTCTCAAATACAGATCATCCCTCAATACAGAGTACATAGGAATACATACTTTCCTTATTCTCACGCTGTAGTTAAGCCCACAAATTTAAAGTTTCAGAGTAGGATGTAATGCGTTTTGGAAGTCACTGTGGCTTACTAGAGCCACGTGTGCATTTGTTTTCATTTTATTTTTTTCCAGTTTGAGATAATAAATAGGATGCACTTATTTCTGAAGTAATAGAATGAGAAATCATAAAATGGGAAAGAAAAAGCCCTGGGATTTTATAGTTCACTATTATGAGGAAAAGAAGCTGCTAAACTGCTGATCCCAGGCCATATTTTGTTTTAGTGTAAATAACTGATTTTAAAAACCATTTTAAGTTTTACTGACAAGATATGTGAACTTCAAATTCTGTTGGATTGTTGTTGAACATTATTTAAAATGGAATCAAAGCAAGCACAGCTGTTTAAAGTAGTCAACTACTTCATACTAGCAAGTCCACTGTTCACTAAATTATGCTGAACTACACGTAATGCAAAATGAAGTTCCCTCAGTCAGAGGCATGAATGGTATTTTTCAAATCTAAGCCTCTACTATCAATGTACATTGGAGCTATATCTAAAATTTGGAGCTACAAAATCACCTACAAAAGTTTTGCTTACATATTTTGAATACAGAAGAAATGGAACATGAACAAGCCACACTTAGAACTAAGGAAGAGGAAGCTAACTACTGGCTGGACTGAACACAGAATGTACACACTGCTGTTACTGTTGCTATCTCCTAACAATGACTGAAGAGACAAAAGTTAAGTGTGTTTAGATTGGCTTCAATTTCCAAGTGAAAGAACATTTTGAAAAAAGAAAATTAAGAAATACAAGAAAGCAGTGGAACTTAATGACTTAAATATTTAGAATATTATAGGGAAAAGATAAATTTTGCTTATTCTGTAGCCTTCTGTTATTCAGCTTTCATAATATCTCATATCTATGTGTCTGAAAAGAGATGCAATCATAGTCTAGATAAC